GCGGTGAGGCTGTGTGTCGAATGGCAGGCGAGGAGACGCCCGAATGGAATTGAATGGAATGTAATGGAGTGGAGTGGAGTGGAGTGGAGGAGGGAGAAAAGAGCTAAAATGTGACCATTTCACCATTTCACCATTTCCCCGCTTCACCATTGCACCGTGCGCGTAACGATGTCTGAGGCGAACGAGTTACGGGCCAGAAAATGCATTTACATCAATTCGTCATCGCGTACGGAACCAGCGACTGGCTCAACGCCGCTTGACCAATGTAGGCATGCATCACTGTCCCATAGCCCCATTCACCGGAAGCCTCGTTGTGGCCGGGGCAAGCGGGACGCCGAGAGGGGAGGCGGGGACTGGGATTAGCAGTGCAAGTGAGGGGAGGGGGGGTGAGGCGCAGGGGCGCGTGTGGCCGATCTGCGGCAGTAGCAAGTGGGGCCGGCAACACGCGCACCGTCCTCCTGGCGTCGGGAGAGCGCGAGAAGGCCTTTGGCAGTGTCCATTTGTACGTGTGCCACTGCCAGCCGGGAAATGGGGGCAGATGGAGTCAGACTGGCGCGATGGGACGGCGAGCTGGAGGCGGGGCAAGCAGGTGAATCGATGGCGAGTTGAGTAGATGTGGAGAGGGGGCGGTTGAATGAGGGCCAAGTGAGTGCGCCGTGTGTGTGTGTGTCTGCGTGTATAGAGGTTGCGGCAAGCTTGGACGTAAAGGGAGTGGAGTGGAGTGCTGAGCAATGGATGGAGGGTGAAACGAGTGCATTGGAGCTTGGGAGACGGAGTGGAGTGAGGAGAGGACGAAAAGGGGTTGGTCGGTCGTTCTGTTGGTCCGGTTTAGGCTAAAGGTGCGTGGAGAGGAGACGTAAATGTTGCAGAGACGAGGCGGTGCAAGTTCGAGCAGACTGAACTTTTTGCCGGTGCGCAGTTCGGGCGGTTCTACTCACAGGCTGTGCTAAAGCGTCTTGGCCACTAACCTGAATATTGACTTGTTCGTCGATCGATTATCTCCTCAGTCAACGTCAATGACTGCGTGTGCGTTTACCACCAACTGCCTCGTCTCCGTTGGACGTGCGGGCAGCCGGTCCTTTTTCACTGCACCGACGGGACGAGTGCGGCACTCGCAAAAGCGGCGTAAGTCGAGGCAAGAGCGGAGGCGGAGACGAGAGCCAGGGAGAGTGAGAGCGAGAGGGAGAAAGCGAGGGCTAGGGCGAGGGCGAGGAGGAGAGAGTGGCGCCTAGTCCGGAGCCCTCCGAAGGGTGATCGAGTAGACGAAACAAACCGGTCGAGCAAGCCTCTCTCGACTGACCCGAAAACCATCTCGCATTCATCCTCGCCGTCGCCGTCGCCGTCAGTCTTGGCCAGGC